CCTTAAACCCTAAACCCTACTCCTTGCTTAGGCTGTATTATTTTCTCTATGGATGCCTCATGTTTCCACTTAGCTCAGATGTCTTTCCAGAGCTGTTGCCATCTGATTCCGCCCACTGGATTCTGAATTGTGCCAATCCTTCCAAAGTAGTCTATCACCCCGGAGTTCCGCCACCTTGCCTTCTAACAGCCATCGCTTGCTGAAGCTTTCCCTGATCTTTTCTTGCATGTCCTCCTCTTCCGGCATCGATCGCCTCTGTCTCCACCATCTGCACTGGATTTCTGGCTGTAACTAGGTTTTTGTTTCCCCCCATACCTTTTCTCGTGGGTTGGAGAGACCTTCAATGGTTCTGCCACATCTTTCTTTCCAGATGATCCACAGTGTCACTTTCCTGATTAGTCCAAACCACAGTCGTTCTGTCTTTTTGAGATAGTCAGGAAGGTTAGTCCAGAGAAGAAGTTGGGTAGGGTGTTCGGGGAAGGGTGAGCTGAAGAGAGAGTCCCATAGAGCTGTTGCCCTTGCCCAGTATTCTGTAGCCTCGTTGCAGTATAGTAGGCAGTGAACTATGTCTTCTTGTCTTCCTTCGGTGCAGACCGTGCATAGGTCCAAGCTGCTAGGATCGTTTTTGTGTCGTCTTGTGTGTAACCATTTATTTACCGGTAGTGCGGCATATGCGATAAGCCACTGAAGGCTTCTGATTTTGATCGGTTTTATAGTTTTATATCTCTTCCAGGGGATCTGGGAGAGGTTATCGTCATCATATCCTAACAATTTCTGCCATCTCTCTTTGATGACCGGAGCTGGGTCTTTTGTTTTGACCAGAAGTTTATATCCGATTTTTACTGTGTAATTGTATATCGGGGTCCTAGAGTTGATATTCCTAACTTTGTCTGGTGTCCAAGCCCATTCTGCTGGATCAAATTCCAGGTTCCTTACTGCCGTCTCTGATCTAAAGATCTGTTTTGGCCATTGGTCTAGCACTCTGACTTTTCGAAGTAAATAGTATTCCATAACTACCGTCTCTACCTCCTTGTTTAAAATCAGAGGCCTACCTTGAAGCGAAGATGAAATCGGGAAGGACGTAAAGACAGCTTGTGTGGTTGATCCCGGGTGCATATGAGAGAATTGATATGCTCTTGAGGGGGGGTATTCCTGCACCTTAAGTCCCCACTCCCCAGTCTTCCACTGTATGGCTTCCTTTAAGATATCTTTCCAGTTTGTAGGGATTTTATCCAGGATATAACCAAGGTTGGGTCCTCTTTTATGACAGCCCTTCAGTATCATCTTCAATTCTTGTTCATTTATCCATTCCTTTCTTTCTTCCTTCCATAGATGACTCACTGTCCATACTCTGTTTTTGACCCAAGAGAGCCATTTGTGTTCTAGGACAAGGGGGGTGTCTGCCTCGTCGGTTATCCAACTGTTACCAAAAAGTGGTTGTCTTAGGACCTCATCGACGGACCTTGGCCTGTTTACTCTTTTTGGTAATATTTCTCTCCATGTCCGGATCAGTGTCGACCAGTATGCGGTGGTGAGTTGGGATGGTTCGTCTTTCTGCCTTCTCCTGCCCGTTATGAGTTTCAATTCCCTAGTCATTATCCAAAACAGTCCGGCCATATTTTCGGGGGAGGCTTTAGGTGCCAGGGCCCTGATGCTATCAAGTGCCAGCTTATTCCATGGGCTCTCTGGTTTCATCAGTAGTTTAATCACCCATTTGACTTGGAGGGCTTTTGTCTCGGCTTTAGGGTCAATGATACCTAGGCCCCCATAGAGCGGCTTCCTCGTGATGTATTGCCATGCAATCTTGGGTATGCTGTTCCTTTTATTGGGGTTCCCTGACCATAGGTAATTCCTAGCTGAGCAGTTCAATTCCTTTAGTGAGCTGTCCGGTATTGTCCATATCGAAGTAATATACCACATCATCGAGAAGACCGAAGTATTAAGTACCAGCGCTCTGCCAATTAGTGAGGTGAAAACACTCCCCCATCTTCCCAGCTTATTGATTTGTTTGGTTAGGATGTTCTGTGCCATTTGAGGAGCCAGCCCATCCTTAGTCATCAAAATACCCAGGTAGTGGGTGGGTGTTTCTGGTGTATCCCATGTCATAGCCGACTCTGGACCTTGAAGAGTTGGAGGGTCTTCGTCTGAAAGCCACCACCCAATAGTCTTTTTCCAGTTTATCTTCATCTCAGACGCTAGTCTAAACGCCTCCATCGCTTTGGCCAGTGATTTGAAAGAGGAGTCAGAGGCTCGAATCAAGACTGTCAGGTCATCTGCGAACATAATCGCTGTCGGGAAGCTCATGTGGTGTGCAGATCCGGCATTTACTTCTGGAAGTCGCTGGATTGAGGGGTCTTTCCTTGGGAATGATGCGATGGCTTCCATCACGAATAGGAAGATTGATGGTGCCAGAGGATCCCCCTGTCTGACTGATCTGGATATTGGGTAGCTTTCAGAGAGGAATCCATTAACCTGTACACAGCCCATGGCATCTTTGTATAAGATTTTGATCCACTTTCTGAAATTTGGTCCCACTCCCATCCGTTCCATACTGGCATCCATGAAGGACCAGTTGACTTGGTCGTATGCTTTTTCAAAATCAAAGAAGAGTATTGCCGTGTTTATCCTTTTCTCTCTGACTTTGCAGACTGCTTCGTTTAAGGTTAGCACGTTATCCAATATATACCTACCAGGAATAAAGCCTGTTTGATCAATATGAAAGCATTTGTCCGTTATACCTGTGATTCTCGCTGCCAGTGCTTTTGCTAGTATCTTATATGGGAGTGTCAGCAAGGAGATCGGTCTGTAGTTCCTAATGTCTTCTCTATCACCTTTTTTGTATAACAAAGTAATCACACTGCTACTAATGAGGTTACCTAGCCCCTCTTTGAGCCAGCTGTCTTCGCAGAAGTTCATTAGATCTTCCCCCAAGAGAGGCCAAAATTTGACCCAAAATTCCTTGGAAAGGCCGTCGATGCCTGGTGTTTTTTCGTTTTTCATGCTTAGGAGCGCTTGGTGTAGTTCTTCTTTCGTGATTGGTTTGTCCATGGCTTCCGCTTCTCCGGCTGTGATTGTTTGTTCCAAATACTGCAACATTCTTTGTCTCGCTTCTCTTGTTGCCATCGAGACGGGTGACCGTGTTTTAGTCTGGTATAGGTCTTGGTAGAAAGTTTTTGCTATTTCTAATAGGTCTTCACTGGTAGACATCGTCTCCTCCGGGGGCGAGAGAGTTCTTAGTCTTTCTATGGTGCTTGCCCGAGAGTTGGCCTTAATGCGTGCGAAAAAATGTTTGGACATTGACTCGCTGAGTTCGTATTCATTCATTCTGGACCTAATTTGTAGACCCTTCAGGTCCCGCCATCTCCATAACGCTAATTCCTCCCGGGCTTTTTCAAAGACTTCCTGGTTTAGCTGGGAGGAGGCGTTATTACTCAGATTGACCTCTGCGATCTTCAACGCCGATTCCAAGGTCTGCCTTCTTTGTTTCCTAATGGAGGAAAGATTCCTAGAGAGTTTTGTTGCCGTCTTTGACAGGTCCAGATAGCTTTTTTGGAACCATTCCCATCGATCCTGAGTTGCTAGGAGAGAGTTCCTTTGGCTTGCCATCATTCACTCACCCCTTCTT